TCACACTCACACACACACACACACACACACACACTCAAACACACACACACACACACACTATAATTAGTCTAGGAGCTTGTAAAGTTTGCCGGGAACCTGTACATTTCCTCCAGCTACATCCTGTGCTCATAATTATAGCATTTCTTTCATTTCAATTTGAAAGTAATTGTGTGTGCTTGTCAAAAACAGACAAACACGAGTGTGTCGAGCACTACACAACAGCTAAAACACATGCTCAATTACTATAGTACAAAACTTCCATTGAAGCAAGCATCTAGAGACCAGAAACCCGAGGATGCAGGACTGTTCTTAAACCAGACAGAAAGAAATCCAAACCCTAAGCCTAGCAACTGCATAGCAACACCCTCACAGATAACTTAAAAAAAAAAAAAAAACTAAATAAAAAAATAAAGTTAGGCCAAATCCTATATTTCATTTATATTACATATTTCATAAACTGTACATAAAATATTTTTAAAATCCTGATTCTTAAGTCTTATAGTAAACCATGAACAACTGGAAAAGTCATTATTAATTTTAGAATTTAATTATAAAATTTAATTATTATTAAGTCATTATTAAAATTGTGAAATTTTTATAATGAATATGGATTTTACTATTTATTGCAAGCGTTAAAATATATTATTTTGGTAGAAATTGTGACAAAAAATATATTACATTTTATTAATATAATACACACATATACATGTATATATTTAAGAAAAATGTTATGTTTATATATTAAATATTAAACCTGATTGGTGTGTCTACAATTTAGCAATCATGTGTTTGTGCACCTGATGGCTGTGTTTAACAGATTGGCTCATAGGTGTGGTAATTTGACAGTCAGTGCTTTGGAATTGCAAGGAAGTGACATCATGATTTACTTCTGTGTCTGATGTATACAAGTGTGTTTAGTGTTTTGCAAATCACTGTGTGTAATGTTTTGCAAATAGTGTGAAGCTGACAATGTGCTTACAGTTGTGCAAATCTAGCCTTGTGTTTTGCTCCTTGAGTGTAAGGTTTTGCTAATTGTTGGAAAAGTTTAATTTTAGTGTGTAAGCAATCGTAAAAAACTGTAAATAAAGTTAGGCCAAATCCTATATTTCATTTATATTACATATTTCATAAACTGTACATAAAATATTTTTAAAATCCTGATTCTTAAGTCTTATAGTAAACCATGAACAACTGGAAAAGTCATTATTAATTTTAGAATTTAATTATAAAATTTAATTATTATTAAGTCATTATTAAAATTGTGAAATTTTTATAATGAATATGGATTTTACTATTTATTGCAAGCGTTAAAATATATTATTTTGGTAGAAATTGTGACAAAAAATATATTACATTTTATTAATATAATACACACATATACATGTATATATTTAAGAAAAATGTTATGTTTATATATTAAATTAAACATAAACTTGTACTTTGAATATTATTAATCACGATTAATCATTATGCAGCCCTAATTTACAACATTATAAAATGGAATGTTTTTCTTAATGTTGCCTCTTAAACATGGACACGTTGGCCAAATGTTCTTAGAACATTATTTTGTTTGCTGGGATTGTGTCAAATGACACGAATAAAAAAAAAGAGGTCTGACTGTACAACATGTTTACTGTAAACACATCTGCTGTTTGTCTGTTTATGACTCAAGAGGATGAGACCAGCTATGACATAACAGAGTCGTTTTTATTTAACGCTAATTATAATAGCCACAGACTAAGACAAACCCCTTAAAACATTATTTACTTTCATTATGAAACATATTTATCATGATTCATTCGTATAAACATACGCGCACACATCATCACACCTTCTTTTGTCCTGAGGAATTGCTCCAGAAAAACTCCCTTCAGAGAATAAACGGAGGACAGATGAAGAATGTGTGGATGGAGTAGACAGCTTTATTCATTCTGTTTATTATTCACTGTGTGTGTGTGTGTGTCTGTGTGTGTTTGTGTGTGTGTGGCATTTGTGAAACGTATTTTATGAATATATATTCTTATTTTGTGCATGTGAATTGGTTTTTGTGAATATATATATATATTTTGTGCACGTGAAATATTTCTCATGCATGTGAATTGGGTTACGCATGTGTGCATCGCGTCTTTTGCGTGAATTATTATTGAGATCATTCTGGCTCCATAGTGTGTGTGTGTGTGTGTGATGTACATACACATACTCTGCTCAGCTGGCTGAATACACACTATGATGGTGAATCAGTGAAATCACTGCTTTTTGACCTTCATCACATCTGTGGAAGCAAGTTTCTTACACGTGATGTTAGCATGACATCTAGCGGACAAAAGCAGAACTGCAGTTACAGCGCTTAAATCAGTCAGTTATTGCATGTCTGAGCCACTAGAGAGCGCAGCTGAGGCGACATTGTTCCTGGAGACAGACAAACATCTACCCATCTATCTTTGTTACATAATAATAACGCGCGCGTGTGTGTATATATATATATATATGGCTTAAATGCTAATTATATTCTTTATAACTATATACGATATTCTACATATATAACAATATTCTATATAATCTTATGCAATCTAAATGCACATACACACACACACACACGTGTGTATATATATATATATATATATATGGAGACAGACAAACATCTACCCATCTATCTTTGTTACATAATAATAACGCGCGCGTGTGTGTATATATATATATATGGCTTAAATGCTAATTATATTCTTTATAACTATATACGATATTCTACATATATAACAATATTCTATATAATCTTATGCAATCTAAATGCACATACACACACACACACACGTGTGTATATATATATATATATATATATTATTTCCAGACTCAAGGTCCATTAGCAAGAAACACACAATCTATATATATATATATGTGTGTGTGTGTGTGTTATTTATATTTATATTATCGCTATTTCTGTTGTTCCTCCAATTAAAACAACAACACATTGAAAGGCAGGACTGATGTTGTTAGATATAATGCTCTGTATTGTCCTAAATTATGTCATGCATATGCAAAAGAAATGTACATAAATGCATAAAAAACATTGCTATTTATCTGAACAATGTTTTTTTTTTATTATCTCAATTTAACTCAATCTCGCGTATTTCCAGGGATTTTGTTTTTCATAATTTTAGTTTAGGATCTTGTTTTCTTAGTGGATTCTTATTTTTTTTATGACATTAATATGATTTAAATTTGGTTCTGAAATATTCATTATGCAATTTTGTGCACATCCTTTATTATTTAACTGCATTATAGATGCATTATAATTGAAAAACTGGGAAGAAACAATGAGCATTAAAACTGTACATAAATGCATAAAAACCTTTGCTATTTATCCAACCCATGTTTTTTTCTTAGTTTTAATAAAAATTTGACTGAATCTCATGTGTACAGTTTTAAAATGAGAATTTCGGCTATATTTTATTTTGGAACACAATGAGAATCAATTACGAAGAGTCAAATAAGATTTGATTTCTTTATTTTCTGGGTTTTTGTTTTTCATAATCTTAGGATCTTATTTTGATTCTTAACTGACTCTTATATGATTCATTTTGGTTCTAAAATACCATTATTCAAGCTTCTATGCATCCTTTAGGATCTGACTAAATATTGTCTGTAAATAACTGAAAGATTTCTTAACGGCTGTTCCGCTTCGTTGTAGTTGTAGGATCTCGGTTCACCTCCACCTCCTCTCTTTCCTCCACAGGACCACTGCCGTGGATGGTTGGGCGTTAGTGCGTGTTTGTTTTGCTCTGATGGCGAACATGAGGAGTAGTGTGTGCATGGAAACCCCACACGCTCATGGCCACGCCCACGGCCACACCCACAACTACAACCCCACCCCTGGGCGGGACTTTCCTCTACAGATCGACTCGTGCGTGAACCCCGTGTTGGACTACAGCACGCAGATGGAGCGCTACCGCTCTTTTGCCACCTTCTATAAGAACAGCACGGCCGCCGCGGCCCCATTTCCCCAGACCGCCAAAATCGCGCGAATTGCCACGCCCCTTTTCCCCTCGGCCCGCCTATCGGCGATGCCGCCCTGGCCCTGCGACAACGCCATGCTGTGGGGGCGAAAGCCTGCCACGGTTAACGTTAACGGACCTCACACACATCGGACTGGCATGTCGAGGGCGGAGCCTGTGAACGTGCACATGTCCGGCAAACACATTCCACAAGACTCCGCCCTCCCGATGGGCGCTGACAACTTCCTGTCGCCGCTAGCCGCGGAGCAATGCCGCGGTCTTCCCGTAACGGGGGCCGATTGCATGAACCGACTGAAGTGTCCGCCGTCTGTGCCGCCCGGAGAGGTGGATCGAGGCGGGACGTTTGGAGGGATGCCCCCATTGGGGGGTCTGTCGCTCCCGCCGGGGGTCATCGTCATGACGACGCTACACTCTGGTGCAGGGTCGTCGGGGGTCACGATGTCAGACAGCGCGTTTCAGATCGCCAACGTGGCGGCGGACTGCCAGCACAGCGGCTCGTCCTGCTCCGGTTCGCCCGCCGCCCTTAACGGAAACGCCAACGGCAGTTGCAGCAGCGCTAGCAGCAACGGTAGCGGAGCGGCTAAGCGTAAACGTAAACGCTGCGGCGTCTGCGCCCCCTGCAGGAGGCTCATTAACTGCGGCGTGTGCAGCTCCTGTCGAAACCGAAAGACGGGTCATCAAATCTGCAAGTTCAGAAAGTGTGAAGAACTCAAGAAGAAACCGGGCAGCACGATGGAGGTGGGATTCACGCACGCACTCACACATATGCCGGGAGGTCTATTGAAGTGGGCTGTTTAATTGGGAATGATGTGGCTGGGGGTTTGGAGTAGAGCCCAGTCTTGGCACAAGCAGCCATAATTAACCATCATGCATTAATGTGTGTGTGTGTGTTAGCTGATGGTTTGAGCCCTCTTAGGCTGGAAAAATGCCCTTAGACTCAAGCACACACTTTATCGCTCTCGCACACACACACACACACACACACAGCCGGTATTGAAGGCTGAGAGATGAGGCAACATGTTGCAAGTTCTCTGTAATAAAACAAAGACAGCTTAATCTATTCACAACCCGCTAACACAACTCACCAGAATCAAGATCAGACCATCACAAACCAGCCCAGTACCATCAGATCTAGTTGTGGAGAGCTTAATCTGGCCAAGAACCGCCAATTTAAAAAGTGATCGCATTAGCTCTATTATTAAAAGTGTAGAGAGGGGTCAAAGTGACTTTCAAATCAATTATCTTTCCCATTGAAATGACTGGATTTCGCCTGTGAAAATTTTCTGAAATATGGTAAATTTGAAGATTTTAAAGGCCTGTTCACACCAATAACGGTGATGTTCAGTTTATTCTAAGCGTGCATTGCAGTTTTGTGTTCGGCCGCTTTAAAGTCGGATGGATTCCATGTGGCTGTTTTTATCATTCACCACCTGGAAAAAAAATATTCTGAAAGTGATTCCAACAATACTGTTTCTCTGTGTCGATATAGTTGTGGTGTTAGACTTCACTATTCTCAAAGAATTAAAACTTACCATTATAGTTACCCTTCTTGGTGTGGACAGGCTTTAAGAGTTTGTTTGGAGCCTCCTTGGTACTGCATTTGGGATGTCTCCATATAATAATAATTAAGGAAAAAATCCAAGATGTGCAGTGCTGGGGATGCTCCGGGAACTGTTTGACATTACATTTATGCATTTGGTAGATGCTTTTATCCAAAGCGACTTAAACTAAATTCCTGATATATATTTTTATCAGTTCATGCATTCCCTGGGAACTGAACCCAAAACCTTGGTGTCGCCAATGGCATGCTCTACTTTTTGAGCTACAGAAATGCCTTAGTAGCAAGTAAACTAGATATCCAAGACATCTACCCATGGTTCAGAGTAATATGCAATCAATGAACCCACAGTAAACCAGCGTGCCAGAGAAAATACTGACGAAATTAGTACAAAATGTGTACTCTTGGACAAGTAGTTTACATGCTACTAAGTGTCTCCAACAAAACTCTTGTTGTTCAATCCTCACAAACTTGGTTTCAAATCCAGGCAGTGACTAAATGTTTCATAATTATGCATTTAGCAGACGCTTTTATCCAAAGAGAAACAAAAGCATTTCGTCAAAGAGTCAACAATAATCGTTACATAAACAGACGTCTCAGTGGTTCAACGGAAACGCGGTTGCGAGGGCCTTTGCATACAGATGGTCGGGTTGGTCTGTTTTTTGCGTTTTCCCAATTTAATTCTTATTTTCGATGAATCAATATTTTGAATCATTGCATCTTAGTGCTAAGATGATTCACACCATTGTACAAACATCTAACACATCATTTCCGTGATTAACTGGGTCATTATATCAAGCTTAAATGGGATCTCTCCAGAATTCCCACTGTCTCTTGTGTCTTTCCTCAGAGAGCACCGTCAGTAGGAGCCGCCGACACTTTCCGCTGGTTCTTCTGAAGAACCCACCATCGATCCACGTCATACAACCGGACTCAAACACTAGAAGAACTGCAGGTCATACACCTACAATCTACCCTTCCCCTCAGGACTCACTGTGGCCCGTTTAGCACTGGGGGCGTCAGGTGCACATGCCCCGCCGGAGAGACGTCGAGGGCAAGTCTCTGGGTCTCAGACTGACCTCACCTCAACCAAACACCAACGGACGTAGAGAAACAGGGACTTGAATTCAGTCGTATCAGGACCCCATCCGAGCCTAAAGGAACAGTTCACCTGAAATCGAATATATGGTCGTCATTTACTCACCCTCATGTCGTTCTGATCACTTGCTTGCTTCTACGAAAGGCAAAAGGAGGTTATTTGAAGAGCATGCATTGAAGCGAGCTCTGTCAAACTCTAAAATGACAAAACAAACAGCATAAAAGCATAGTAAAAGAAGTCCATAAGATTAATGCACTACATTATAGGTTCTCTGAAGTCAGTTTTGTGTTGGGAAAAGACACACGTTTAGTCACAAACAACCATTTGACTTCCCCTTTGATTTGATCAACCAGGATATTCTTCAAGAATTCACCTTTTTTCCACAGAAGAACGTAAGTCATACAGGTTTAGGTTTATACAAGCAGTCCATACGGTTAATACACTATATTATAGGTTATCTGAAGTCACATGATAGTTTTGTGTTAGGAAAAGACATTTTTAGTCATAAACAACCATTTGACCTCCCTTTCATTTGATTGAAAGGAACAACCAGGATATTCTTGAAAAATGTTCCTCGTTCCACAGAAGCAAGCAAGTCATACAGGTTTGAGGCGAGTAAATGGCAACAGAAGGTTCGTTATTTTGAGCGAACAGTTCCTTTAAACCACCTTTCTGTTGCATGGGTAGAAAAGTGTTTTGCTTTGAACAAATAACTTTGTTTATTGCTGTTGTGACGCCTCACTGTCTTGATGGATAAGAGACTCTTAGGATGGCTTGTTGATTAAATGTGATCCTTTTTGAACTGTGACTTTCTGTGCGTCTCCTTTATTTGTGCAAAACTCCCCATCATGCATTTATACACCACTAACATGTTTTGTGAAATGCATAGCGCTCACAAAGGAGTCATCAAGAGATTCGATTTAAGCTAGATAACACGTATCCGAGGGCTGACGGCGCGAAGTGATAAGATGTCACTGAGAGAGC